CAGGACCATCTCAACTTGAGACTCCTTATCAATCACAGCTCCAAGGACATCCAGTTCATTCAGAAGACTCATCATCTTCAGAACATGGTCCCTGACCGATGATCCTTCAGCCATCTTCGTGTTCAAAAGGGCTTTCATGGCTGTCTGCTTAGCTGCACGATTTTGCTCACCGAACATCTCTTTGAGACTTTCGAGCATATCATAAGCAGACCCCATAGACTAATGCTGATGTTGCAAAACATTCTCCATAGAGGCAAGGATGTAACATCGCGCCATCTCATCAGCCTTAACCCATTTGTCATAGGCCTTAACCTGATCATCAGTAGCATTTTCAAGTTTTTCTGGGCACTCCTCAGTGATTACAAATTTGTAACCTTCAGCAGTTAGTACAATATCAAGGTTTCTTTTCCAGTCAACATAATTCGGTCCTTCTAACTTGTTTTGGTTCAAAATTGAGGTAAGTGGGTTGAATGAATACATGGTTAATCTGGGAGATATTCACATTAAATAGATCATTAGTTATGTATTAAGAATGATTAAATTCAAAATTGCACATTACACATACAACCATGCTCATTGAACAGTTAGATTCGTTAGGGAAACTTAACTATTCATGCAAAATATATGAGTGATGTCAGATATTAACCCCATAAATTTAAACAGGACCAACTCAGATGGAGAGTAAACTGTTAATTTAAGATAGGTAAATATCACTTTTATAAAACTCTAGTTTCATTCAATCAACATGTAACTCAGTTGGAGAGTTAATACAAGTAATGAAATAACTAGAGGCTAAAGAAAAACACAGTAATTATCTATAATGAATTTATCCGATGTGGAAGAAGACCTATGTCAACATATAAATACATTATATTACTGTGGAACCCGTTTAATTTAGGGTTTAGGGCCTAAAATCGCGTATTCTGCAATTTAGGGTCTGAAGGTTGCATGTACTGCCGCGGTCCTACCGCGGTTACGCCAGGACCGCGGCTAGAGCGACCTTCAGAATCAGAGGTAGTGTTCTTCCGCGGTCCTACCGCGGTTTCGCCCGGACCGCGGCCATACAATACGAGATTTCATAAAAAATGTGTTTTGACAGGATTAATCCAAAAGTTCTGTATTTTAATCCAAGATTACAGAATATTATACAAAACATTCACGTTTTTAACATAGAATAATTATCCGAAACATGTATCAATGAATAACACGTTTTAATATTACTCTATGCATGCTGTATTACATTATCTAGTTAGATGTAAGACGGCGTCTGATACCAATTGTAGAACATGCGCAGCGGAAGCAAGCAAACAATCAGGCATCAATTACATGTAAACTAGACAACGCAATAATAACGAGATCAGGAACACTAACCTCTTGAAATAGTTGCACAAATTTTCCAAGCAGCAAGAATCCAGGGCTGTAGTCTTCTGCTACATGCCTAGTAAAACCTTGAACATTTTTGCTTTTGGATGGGCAAGAACAATACAACTCTAGGGTTAATGAATAGGAGAAACCTGTCTACCTTTTATAGACTCGAAATTAAGCCCTAAAAGGGGCTTCCAATCGTGTGTGATTAGGATTCTATAAGTAGAATCCTACTCCAACTCAAAAGGGTAACTTTTCTCCCAAGCTACTTTTTACCCAAGTCTGTCCAGGTTTTTACTAGGTATAGCAGGGACCACAGAAATAATAAGAGGCTACTAATTATAGTATTAATTCTAAATTAGCATGAATTAATTCTTACTATAATTAATTACAAGTTATTCCACTAAAAACTGCAATTGAACTCCTCAATATGAATTTCGTAAATTCATTAACACTTATTTTAACTCCCCATGTTAAGATTTCAAATACCAGTTAATTAAATTAAATCACTGATAAATTGATTCAATTAACTAATTAAATCCTTTATAATTCCGCTTAAACCATCTCATGTGACGGATACAAAATCCACCGGCCAGGTTTTCACATGAAAACTTATAAGCTTATATAAAGGGGTATTATCAAACCTAAAAACCAAGTCATGGATTCTATCAACTAATTATTATTCACAAATGTTATTTGTTATTGTCCAATTTATTAGGCATATACTAACTCTAAATAGAGTCGTGCCTTTTGATAAATCAAAACAATAAACAAATTACATTGATCATAATAATTATATCAAGATTAGGAGTATAAGCTCATTTAATGAATTAGAGAAAGTGTTTTATATGTATTCAGTACAAAAATACATTTTCTCTACTTGGTCCGTTCAATATACACTGAGTATACTAGCACAAGAAGTTGGAGTAAACCTACTCCCATAATCAAGACAAATTATACAATAATCTTGTGCTACAATCATCAAGATATTTTGTCCGATAATATCTTCGATTGTGAACATAGTTTATTAATTATGAGAACCAACAATTTAATCTTCTGTGTATGAGCTAAGACTCATACACTAAATTATCTACTACATAACCAAAATGACACACATGTTACAAATGATCTATTTAAAATAGTGCTTTATTGAATTGAATAAATTAAATAAATAATTGTTTCATAAAGAATAAAATACAATACTATATCTAAACCGCATGGTTAATAGTATATCCCAACAAATTCTCTTTTAGCGGCCGGCAACTACCTATGGCCAATGTTGTAACAGTTTGGGCAGTGAAGCAGAAAATTATTACAGAGGCATTTTAACAAATAACCACGTGCATCACAGAATTCACAAAGAAAGCATGAAGAAAAAGAAAAACCAAATATTCAAAATTAAATAAATGAAGCAGAAATGTAAATATAATTGCAGAGGCAAAATGTAAATTGTAAATCACAAAATCTAGATACTAAATCAATTATCTTTGAGAAAAATAAAATCAAATATTCACATGCTCATTAAGAGGGTGTTTGGCTAAGCTTATAAGCTGGTTAAACTGGCTTATAAGCACTTTTTGGCTTATCTACGTGTTTGGTAAAATTAAAAGTGCTTATAAGCCAATTTTCATAATTACTTAAGGATTTGAAAAATATTCCATAATATACAACTTGGTTTTTAATTACAAATTGTACAACATATATATTATATATATAATCTAAAAATAAGGTAACTTCCCCTATTTAAGGTGAATGTCATCGGATCCTTAACGTATGGAACTTTTCTAGGATATTTGGTAAGCGTATATTTAGGTATTTAGACCCTAAATATTCTCTAATTTGTTAATTATTAATTATCAGTATAAACCTATTAGGTTACCACTACAACACTACCTCATAACAAACTCTCCATCTTCCCCAAAAATAGGTAATAACCGTAGTTGCATATTCTCTTCATGGTATGAAAATTATCGATTATTGCATATTCTCTTCGTGAATCTCCATATTTGTATACCTAAGGTAGGATTCTGTACTCTAAGAACCAATGGTGAATGTATCAATTTTGATTCAATACAATGGTGTTTGGCAAGACAATCGCAGATATGTTAAATTTGATGCCGAAGGGATTTTGATCAATTCGAGCTGCAGTTATGAAGAGTTGGTCACGACAATATCAAAGCAAATCAAAGGGGAAAGTTTTACAAAGTTGATTGATATTAAGTATATTGTTCAGGAAGGGTATCCACCAATTTTCATATCAAACGATATGAATGTACAACTGTATATAGATTTAAAGATGAAAAAGACAGAGATCACTCCAGAAATCCTTTTATCTTCCTTTTTTTCAGATGCAACTTGTTGATAAATAGAATGTGGGTGATGGTGGCTTGAGAACAAATTGGTTCTTTCAAAAGATGATTCTGAAATTTCTTCAATAAAAACAATGTCTCTACTACCACCGTCCATGATTTTCAAAGCAATATGTTTTCTATAAAAATCGGCCCTACATAGATATATTATATTGAAGTAGAAAGGGGATATACATGAGAATTATGGAGCAATCACGCAGAAAGGAGATATAAATTATGAAATCAGGGAGTATCTTTTATTTGAGAAATTGGGGGAATAGATACGTGAGAATCAGAAAGAGATATTTCCCAGTGAGAGAATATCAAGGAGAGATTTTAGGAATTAAAAAGTTGTATGATTTAAAATAAGTTGTACTAAAAGTAATTTTATTAGAGCAATTGTAGAAAATATAAATAAGTCTTTAAAGAGTTGTATTCTATGTAAATTCCTCAAAAATAAGCCAAAAGCCATAAGTTGGTCTCCCCCAACTTATCAAATTTCAGCTTATAAGCACTTTAGGTTTGACCAAAATATTTACTATTCTATCCCTAAAATACTTCTTTTTAGAACAAACTCTTCGTATACCCAGTTCTTCAGCTGCTTATTATTAATTTCAGCACTTTTATCCAAACACGTAACTGCTTATTTTTTAAATCAGCTTCAACACTTAAAAGTGCTTTTCAGCACCTAATGCTTATCAGCTACTCTAAATCAGCTAAGCCAAACGGGCTCTAAAAAAGAAATGCAGAAAACTATATTGACCAGAACTCATGGAACAACATACAAACAGGGAATTGAGACTTTTTAGTGAATCGAAGCCAAGCAGCAGAAAAAAAGATACAAGGTATGAATGAGAAAAGCTCTGTAACTGAAATTTTTGAATATGAACAAGACCAAAATTTTCTATTGCCTGGTGGAGATGCAATGAGATCCAGCCCTTCAGTCCTCCCTCTTGGAAATCTCTAGAAGAACTGATGAAGAAAGCTACTCGTGACACGTAGAGCACACGTGTTTGCTATTTGAGGCGGGAGGGTCCAAATAAAATTGTTCAAGTCAATTTAAGTGTACGCATAGATGATGCAAAAAGTACAAATTGAAAAAGCTGTGTTCGTCCCTTCCCTTCTCATCTATCTATATATATATATATTAAAGCAAGAAAGTTTGTTTTCTCATTTAGCCAAGTGGTAACTTATTAAAAAGAAAAGTGGCAACCTATTAACAAGACATTTGACAACTTACTTCAACCCAATTTTATTGCCTCTTTTCTAGAAAATTCCATTACTTAATATGTTTTCAACTAAATATATTAAAAATTACAAAAAAAAATGGCTGAAATGTCTTTCATTTGCTTATTTCTTATCGTCCGATCACCTATTGCCAGAAGGTCTTTCTTAACTTTGTCTCTTTCAAAAAACGTTCCCCATTCTCTCAATTCCCACCATTGTTATTTTACTCTGTCATGGAAGATGAAAAGAGACTCAACAACAAGAAACAGGGTATGTTATACAAAATCATAAACGGATAACACCTCTTCAGATCCGAATGTTTATTATCTAAAACTGAGGAATTTCTACTTGAAAAAGATTCACAAATTTCCAGTAACTATTATACATTTTATCGTCTCCAACCAAAATCCAATTCGAGGTATGTTTAAAGACATGGCTTTCTCCTTAATTTTAGATATAAACCCTAAATTATTCACTTGGAATTCAAATTTCTATTTGCCCAAAATTCGAGGTAAGTTTAAGGAGATGACTTCCTCTTTAATTTTAGATATAAACCCTAAATTAGTTTAATAAAAATGCAAGTTGTAACAACCATATTTTTCGGGCTAGCAATTAACTGGAGAATCCCAAGTGCATAGGCCTCTATTTTGTAAAATTTCCTGTATTTAATATTAAGATAATATTAAATTATCGTATTTTATATCTCTAAGCAGAATTTTCGGGTATTTTATATTTCTAAGCAGAATTTTCGGCCTAGCAACTGATTGGGGAGTCTCAAATGCATAGGCCTCTATTTTGTAAAATTTTCTATATTTAATATTAAAATTATACTAAAATATGTTATTTTATATCTCTAAGCCAGATTTTTTGGCCTAGCAACTAATTTTATGGGCTGATCACAGATTTTACGGATCTTTTTTTGGAAATTTATTTTTCATAAATTTAATGCTCTTAAACACACGTATTTTGTTTCTTATTTATTGCAAGTAAATAAGATTATGCCAATATATATATATATATATATATATATATATATATATATATATATAAAGAAGTTTTCCGTAATTTAGTTTGAGATGAATCTAGACATGGTGGAATTATCAGGTATTTACAATATATTTTTCTGATTTCTATAATTGCTTTAGCTTTTGAGTAAATATTACTGTTTGCACAATTTGTGAATAGAAAAGGATTGATTTATGAAATAGCCCTTTGGCTTCGTCTGTGTCTTTAGTTAGGGTAGTCTGGTGTTTTGTTATTTTCCTTTTATTCCAGATGAAGTTGTATTTTCATACAGCAAGGCTGATTTCATTGCCTATTTAGCAATGGTGTTACTGGGTTGTTGTTGTTGTTTCAAGTTTGAACACCGAGAATTCCTGACTTAGCGAATGACCGAGGACCAAAGAAAGTGAAACTGACGCAGCTTATGGTTATAAATCAAAAGTCATTTTTCAATACTCTGTTCTCATGCTCGAAATCTCTTGGTGCAGGACATCACATTTCCAACTCTCAACCAGCTTTCCCTGAACTAAGAATATTTGACTTCCACTTTCCACCTTAAACCATCTGCTGTATGGTTTAGCTAAGAGGTTGATAATAATAGATTTAGCTGGATTTGCATAGTCACTATGTAGCCATTAGTCAACTGTCGATTTATCTTTTGACATGGTAACGATTGCCTTTGGAACAAGGACTAACAATATCTAATAATTTGTTTATTAGGAATCGACACAGCACAGTCACATACCAAGAGGGTGTTTGGATTGGCTAATAATGAATGAAGCTAGAAATGTAGTGTATAAAAAAGTTTTCCGTAATTTAGTTTGAGATGAATCTAGACATGGTGGAATTATCAGGTATTTACAATATATTTTTCTGATTTCTATAATTGCTTTAGCTTTTGAGTAAATATTACTGTTTACACAATTTGGGATTAGAAAAGGATTGATTTATGAAATATCCCTTTGGCTTCGCCTGTGTCTTTAGTTAGGGTAGTCTGATGTTTTGTTATTATTCTTTTATTCCAGATGGAGTTGTATTTTCATACGGCAAGGCTGATTTCATTGCCTATGATTTGGCAATGGTGTTACAAACAAACAATGTTATTCTTATTAATAACAAATTATGAAAGGGTTGGTTCTGTTGCTCATTTACTGCTGTTTTGAGAAATGTTCCATTACAATTGCCAGAAAATAATTAACAATGGACCAACAATTGGATATGTATAAATCCAGTTTTTTTGGACCTATGATTTAGAACAGGTTATATTGATCTACCTTTTGATTAAAATAATCTCGATTTTGTTTGTTCATGAAACAGAGAGAGATGAAGATGCACCATAAAGTCTTGATGATAGCCTATGCACCTACAATTGATGGGTATACTGGGAATGCTCTAGCAGTTAATGCCTTAGAGCTACTATGCTCATAGTCAGCCATTGAGGTCACTTCGTTCAGTTCTACATCCATTGAAGTAGATATGTAAGAAATCACAGTCATATACAATATTGAGAGTGTTAGCTCCATCTTTGGATACAATTGGAATAGTTCAACAGTTGTGTAATAATGCAAGTTGTGTAATAATGCAGGAAAGATTTGAGTTTTCAGTTAACTGAATAATCCATAATGAGAATGAAGCATACACATTAGTACTAACATTACTGTTTACTTTCTGTTTATTTTTCATTCTTGCACTTGTAGTGCATATTTTTATTTCGCATATTTTTATTTTCATACTAACTAACATATTTTTATTTTCATACTAACTAACATATTTTTATTTGAGTACACCTATGAATGTCTTTACTACTTTTAACTCTTGGAATATTTCACAATTTATCTCGCATTTCAAGAAAGCTATTACTGTCATACCATACTTTCAATACAATTCAAATGAGCAAATAATTAAGAGCAATATCATCATGCTAATATTTATTTTTTTACAATCCGCGCATCGCGCGGGTACGTTTACTAGTATTATATTAAAAGGAGAGTAGTGAAGCATGTGGTTAAGCTAAGTGGCAAGCTAAAATGAAGCGACTTGGCAATTTTAAGACAACATTAAAAATTTGAATTATAAATGGAAAAATTGAAATGGTTTAATAAATCTTATACATAATCTAAATAGATCTTAGAAAAATTTAATTTATATATTTATATTTATGTTTATATTTATCTTTATATCTATATCTACATATATATTTATATCTATATATCGATCCAGTCATAGATTTTCTTTTATGTTAGCTAGAAATATGGAGATAAAAATTAATTAAAAACTATAATAAAAAAATTAAAAATATAAAAATACATAAATTAAGATAACCTATGACTATTTATATTTTGGAGTAAGTTAAAATATAAAATAAAACTAAAATTTACTTAAGATATTAAAGATTTATTGAGTTTGAAATTAAAAAAATTCAAGCACCAAAATAAGATCTTACATAAAGTATACAAATTATTTATAAGTTAAGAAAAAATTAAATAATCAGTAAAAACTATTCTAATAACGAGAATAATAACTCATATTAATATTGATAAATCGGGTAAACAAATATTTTATAAGTAAAATATTACAACGTTTAGATAAAATGTGTTAAAATAATTAAGAAAATATTTGTGTATGATTAATATCTGAATTGAGTGCAGTTAGTTTAAGTTTGAAAGCATAACATAAATCTTTGAAAATACGGTCCAATTTAAAAAATAGAATGATAAGAGTTATTTGAATTTGGGATGAGATTTTTTTTATTTCATAATTTTTGGAAATATTACGTAAAGAAATAAAATAATAGTGAAAATATAATAATCAAAGAACTTATGCATTAATATTTAGATTAATTCAAAGTTATAATTTAAATAAAAATATGATATTATNTTATGGAATTGGTCGGGTTTGCCTAGCAGTGTGTTGGGCGCGATCACGACCGGGGTTGGGGTCGTGACATAAGAAAAGTCTTAATATGGATAAGTCCACGTAACTCTAGTCTAATGGATAAAATAAAAAACTAAAAATATTGAATAATAAAAATAAATTAGAGATAATGTGAGGATATTTATGATCATACGTTTACAAATAAAATAAAGTAAATATACAATACTTAAAAAAATATTAAAAATTAAATAATTTAAAATTTTCAAGAAATATTTTAAAGCAAAATAAATATTTATTTTATGATTAAAAAATTATATAATTACCTATATTATATTAAAAAATAGTAGTTGATAATGATATTAAATAAAGTTACAAGTTAATGAAAAGTCACATAACGTAATAAGACTATATATTAGATTAAAAAAATAGCAAAATTATGTTAAATTATTAAAAATTTACTATTAGAAATGAAAGGAAAAGACTATTTGAATTTGAGATTAGAAAGTTCTTAAAAGCCAAGTTTATATTAATAGATTACAAAATAAATGTACGTAATACAAAAAATTATTATAAGAAAGTTCAATAGATTTGAAACGTTATAAAAGAACTTATATATTAATTTTTAGACTAATTCAAAATTATATTTTAAAATAAAATGTGATATATATGTTCCCGATAGAGAACTATCAAATATAAGAAAAGTATCATACTTCAGTTTGAATAGAAAATTGAAATTATGTTATTTTGAGTATAGGTAAAAAAATTATGTACTAAGAGGAAAATAGAGATAGTGCGAAGATACTTATATTTTCAAATTTATTAAAAATAAATAAATTAAATTACTAAATAGTAGTCAAAAATATTATTAATAGATTTAAATGATGAAAAAGATCCGAGTAAGTGGATAATAGTGTAAAAATACATTAAATTTCAAGAAATTTTTTTTTTACATTTATTGATGATTATTAAAAGGGTAATAAACAATATTAATAAAAGATCACATTATAGTATAATTGCAAAAACTATAAGCAAGGAACAAAAAAGATAAAAAGATTATGTCTAAAAATGTAGAAGGATAAGAATATTTGAATTTGAGATGAAAAATAAAGTGTTAGTAAGAATTTTGTTAAGATAATATAATTTACTGTGCTCAAACAAGACAGATCACAATGTTACATGTATAGTATTTTTTAATATTGACCGTAAAATATAATGCAAGTGTCAAAATCAAGGGATTGGGTTATTACAGATATAGAAAAAGAAAACAAATTATCCACTATAAGATTTGAAAAATGATTTCATGTCCTACTTCTTAAATAATATCAAATAATTATTTATAATTTATATATAGAAGGTTTAATTTAAGGTTATTTGCACATAATTTAAATAAATAAAATAATAATTTGATATGCTTTATGTGCGCGCATCACACGGGTACTAATACTAGTTTATATGTAGTAGTAATTTATATGTTTTATAGAAGGCAAATAAGGCCTCTGCGCTGTTTCTCAAAATCGTTTAAATATTAATTTGTCATCATGTTCTTCGAGAGGAATAAGGTAATGCAATATAGGATTTTCGGTGCTCTTAGAAAAGGAACAACTGGTAAACGTTTTCGTAGACAGATTTACACAATTTTGTAAACATTCTGCATGATAGTACTTGCCATATAATTTACTTTTCTGACCGTCTTGTCGTAAGATGCTTAAAATTTGTCCCAGAAAAATTAGTCATATGCATCGACTTCAAGGCAATATAGAGAATTTTACATAATCAGTGCTTTAATCCAATATAATAAGATCATTACTTTATTTCAAGTTACCAAATAAGACTTGTTATGAATAATTATTCATTATTGTACCACAAAAAATTACAAGTTTAATTAATATCCACCTGACAATATAAATAACTTTTATACTATTTGATCACTTTTACCTGTTGTAACAAATAACTTACCTTATTGTCAAGATTGCAAATCTTACTTTTTTTGAAGGGTTACTGTAATTTCTTTTGGGCTGTATGTAAGTTAAACTCAATATCATACAATGTCAATGCACATAACTTAAACACCCACACTCAAGTTTGACAAACATATTTTACCTTGCTTTATGGGTCAATTGATCGGCCTCTGTCCCTTCGAGACATCCGATATATACTAGTATACATTTATTATATATTTGTCGATTATTTTTTTGAGTAAGTGCTTATTTAAGTTAATTTCTTAAAATTGATGGGTCTAACTTTTCATGAAAGTTGCAGCTCAATATGCCGCACATGGACCGGATGGTCCAGCTGTTGTTAATAGGGATCTTTAAACAAATAGCCAGCCATATATATATATATATATATATATATATATATATATATTAAGCATACCTCCACCGGTAATTTTTAATTTAAGCGGTTGGGTGGCCGGCTATTTGGGTTAATACTTCTTGTTAATAAATCGGAATTGGACTTTCAATTCATGTGACTGTTTTTCTGTAGTCAGGGCTAGAAATGGTCTTTGAAAAATCGCCTCTTGAAGTTTATATTTTGAAAAATGTGAAGAATGGGTGAAAATCCGAAAAATCGAACCAAACCGCAAACCGAACTGAACCGACCAAAAAAACCGATACTTTTTAGGTTTGGTTTGGTTTTGGTTTTGAATTTTAAAAGCCGATCAAATTTGGTTTGGTTTTGGTTTTAATCAAAAAATAACCGGAAAAAACCGAACCAAACCAACTAAAAAAGTAGCTATTTAAATTTATTATTACACCTATATATATGTATATTTTTATATAAAGTTTCTAAAATTTTATAGTATATATTAGTCATTTTGTATTTTTAGTCTAGTTCTTTGCTATTATAATAATCTAATTCTTTGCCTTTACATTCTAGTTTGATTGATAGTTTTCTTTTGCTAAATACAAGAATTTATTTCATGTTAGAAATAATCGATTTTTAACTGAGTACTTAAATTATTCGTTTGATTCAAGTATCATCAATATATTTTGGTAAATGATAGATTTCTCAAAGAGCAATTCATTTGATAGTGTTACGTTGAAAATGTAGTTGCCGGAATATGTATTTGGTAGTATATGTCTCATGTTTAAGAAAAAACCCGATAAATAATCGAAAAAATCGAAAAACCGATAAAACCGACAAAAACCGAATCGATAAAAACCGACTTAATTGGTTTGGTTTGGTTCCAATATTTGAAAAACTGACTTACTTGGTTTGGTTTCTTTTTAGGGAAAAATCGACCCAAACCGAACCATGAACACCCCTAGTTGCAGGTATCGCATTTGCGATCCCAGGTTCGCAAATGCGAACTCGCAAATGCTGACATAGCTTCGCAAATGCGAAGAATGGCTTGGTCCCGCTATCATCGCAAATGCGAAAAATGTTCGCAAATGCGGCCTCTGTTCAAGTCGCAATTGCGACAATGAGCTTTGCAAATGCGAAGGTCCCCTCCCAGCCTAACTAGTCGCAAATGCGATGCTCGCATTTGCGAGCCAGCCTTTGCAATTGCGAAGTCTGCAGACCTGAACATACCAGCAATTTTCCTTAACTCCAAATCACTCCGTAGCCTATCCAAAATTCACCCGAGCCCTCGGGGCTCAAAACCAAACATGCACACAAATCTTAAAACATCATACGAACTTGCTCATGCGATCAAATCGCCAAAATAACACCTAGAACTATGAATTCAACACCAAAACGCATGAAATTTTAAGATAGTTTCAAACTTCCTATTTTCTCAACCAAAGGTCCGAATCACGTCAAATCACTTCCGTTTTTCACCAAA